CAGTTGTCCACATCCGTCTGAAGGTCGGTGCAGAACGATGGGTAGTCGTCTCCGGCAGGACAGTAGTTGGTGCTGTTGTTTTCACAAGGTCGATTATGGATTTTTGGAAGTCAACCACCACGTGTGAAACCCCTCCAAATCCCGTTCCCGTTTTGTGAAGAAAGGGAAAAGGGGGAACGCACCAGCCAGTAGAAGCGTCACACCTCGCCGAAGGCAAAGGAGCACTAAAATTCCATCGCAAAAAAACAATGAGCTCCCTCCCGATACGTGAACCCGCCTCCGCTCCCCTGGAAAAACAACTCACACCGGACCCGTACAAGTCGCCCTCTTGTCCAACGCCCCTTCCTCCCTCCTCAGCGCAACCCCCCTCCTTCCCTTTCTCTCCACCTTGCTCTCAAAAAACACACCCCTCTTATCCTCGACGCCAGTGTATGGCTCAGCAGCGGGCGACCGTCCCGTCATTTGCTGGGCGCGGCGGAACCCACGGCGAGCGGCGATGGGGGCGGTGTTGGTCGAGGAGGGGGAGGCGAGCGCGAAGGGGAGGAGGAGGAGGAGAAGGGTAGGGAGGGAGAGCTGCATTGTTGCGAGAGTGTCGAGGGGAGGGAGTGGGAGGGAAGGAAGTCAAGAGGCAGAGCCATTGCCTTCCCCTGCAAGCAGCTCCAACAGTGATCGGCACGCACGACCCTGAGCCCACCCTCCCGCTCCCGCTCGCCAAGTCGGACGGACGCCCGCCCGGTCGTGCCTTGAGGCAACTTTCCCACGACTTTTCATTCCTCGCTTCAGCTCAGGTTGAACATCATGTGATTTGAGCTGTAGACGAACAAGAGAGTTTGTTGCTATCGTTGAGGGTCGTCACCATTGCGGAATGGAGGAAAGCGATGCGCGTGATGTCCTGCGCCCTCAATGAAGTCCTTTGACAAAAGGAGGAGACGTTGCTCGAAAATCTAACTTGTACAGCAGCATTTGCTAACCCGTTTGGTTTCTCACTCGTTCCAGTAGCCTCACCGGATCGTAGGAGAGCCCACGAACGCCCCAAGGAAAACAGCGGGGAAGCAACGAAACGTGGACCCGCTTCCCCCCTCCCTCTCGGCTCTCACCACACCCTGCCGGCTACTCACACACAGAGTCTCTAAGCCCTTATCGTTCTCCACAAAAGACAACCAACACCATCCCAGACACGCGTTTCGTCTTTCGGGAAGTGAACCCCAGGGGTCTGAGTCTCAGACGAGGCTCGGCGACGCGGGGTGGTGGTGGTGGGAAAGTGCTCCCGTGAGAACGGGACGTGAGTAGTGTCACGCACTGAAAAAGGAAGAGTGTGAGTCGTACAACTTCCCTTTCGTAGTGGACGAAGAGAGTTCGCTACGCCGTCTGAGATCCACAATGGCAAGCGGGATCGCCCTTGAGATGCAAGGCGTACGTGTCTCAGAAATGCCGTCAAACTGCTCTCCTTACGGCAAGCAACTTGATGCAGGCGATCTCATCGCCCCATATGCATGGACCACTCACCCTTCGCGGGCTGCCTGTCTCAAAAAAATCCCGGACCTACGACATACCATTGATTGATCGCTGCTCGCAACGTGTGGTCGCGCCATCTCTCACAGCTCTCTCTCGTATGCACAATCAACCCAAATGGACCAGAACAAGAAAAGAGAAACTGTATAATGCGAAGGGGGGATAGACTTGCACTTTTGAGTATAGCGAGAAAAGGAGAAGAGGAGGAGGGGAAGCCTAAAACATAAAGCAGAAGAGAACGACGAGGGGAAACACCAGTGTTATTTGTTTGTTGGGATGGGTTGTGTAAGCTACTGCAACGAAGCGAATAACGAACAGTCTAGAAAAACGGAAAAGATAACGAAAAAGCGGGGTGGAGGGGAAAGATGATTCGCTTAGTCGCGGTCAGCCTTCTTGGCCTGAGGGGAGGAGAGAGAGAAAAGGTCAGCGCCCATTATTCAAAAATCGTCTCATGGAGAGAGAAGAAACTCACTCCCTCAACATCAGCGGTGACCATGTCGAGAACCAGCGCGTCGAAGTCAACCTTCCTCTTCCATCCGAGCTCCTTCTCAGCCTTGGTGGGGTCACCGTGCAAGAGCTCGACCTCAGCGGGACGCTGCATAGTGTAAAGGAAAAAAAACGAAACCAAAAGTCAGCAACCCATATTCCTTCTCACAGCACACTTCACCGCGCGGTACGCGCCAAGACCCCGCGCGCGATAAGCTCCCAAAGACGAGAAACGAGACGTACGAAGTAACGAGCATCGACACGGACAAGGGTCCTGCCAGTCTGAGCGCAGATTCCGACCTCCTCGATCGAGTCGATCTCACCCTCCCACCTGATGTTGATGCCGACAACCTTGAAAGCCTTCTCGACGAACTCCTTGACGGGGTGGGTCTCGCCAGTCGCGAGGACGTAGTCCTCGGGCTCGTCCTGCTGGAGCATCTTCCACACTTTCGATGAGAAGAATAGTCAGTACACACGAAGAGTGTGGAGATGAAGACTGGAAAGCGCGACGTACTGCCCTCAACGTAGTCGCGGGCGTGTCCCCAATCACGCTTGGCACTCAGGTTACCAAGGTACTACGAGCGAAACCGAGTTAGCTCGCCAGCTTCCATGTCATCATGCAGTGAGTTAGTAGGGAAGAGCTCACAAGGCACTCCTGCTGGCCAAGGGAGATCTCGGCGACAGCACGCGAGATCTTGCGGGTGACGAAAGTACGTCCACGACGAGGCGACTCGTGGTTGAAGAGGATACCGTTCGAGGCGTACATGCCGTACGACTCGCCTGTTATCGTTCAACGACAATCCCGAGAGGAGAGAGAAACGCGTCAGCACGACTGAACCTCAACGGCAACCCTCGATTTTTGCCGCTAGCTCGTCGTGGCTTGCAGAGAGCGGGAAGGGAGGGATGCACTCACGGTAGTTCTTGACGATCCAGAAAGCGTAGAGCTTGGCGACACCGTAGGGCGAACGGGGGTAGAAGGGGGTGGTCTCGGACTGGGGGGTCTCGACGACCTTTCCGTAGAGCTCGGAAGTGGAAGCCTGTACAGCGCACGCGCGGGCATCAGCCGTGCCGTTCTCCACCACGGTCGAATAAAGAGACAGAAACGAACCTGGTAGAAGCGGACGTAGTTGGTGAGGCCACAGGTGCGGACGGCGTCGAGGAGACGGAGAGTTCCGAGACCGTCGACATCAGCCTAGTGGGTTGGGTTGAGCAGAACGGGAAGGAGGAGGAAGGGGAGGCGCGCGCGCGATCGTCAGCTCCGTCGCCCTCGCCAAAAAATCGAACACCAAGTGATAGAATGTAAAGGTGAGATGAGGTGAAGACTCACGGTGTACTCGGCCATGTCGAACGAGACCTTGACGTGGGACTGGGCGGCAAGGTTGTAGATCTCGGTGGGCTGGACGGAGGACATGATGTAGACCAAGTTGGTGGTGTCGGTAAGATCTGGCAAGCGAGACAAACGATATCAGAACGTGGACAGGACGCCAGCTAGACAAGGGGAGGAGCTCACCTCCGTAGTGGAGGAGGAGGCGGGGGCCTGCGATAGCGCGAAACGAGGGTGGGAAGAGTCGTGGAAGGTCAGGATCAGCTCGCGCGCGCCGGGAAGGGTCAAGGAAGCTCGTTTCGACGACGTACGCTCGTGGACATCCTTGTAGAGGTGCTCGATACGGCCAGTGTTGAACGAGGACGAACGACGGATGCTGCAAGCGCGCGAGACGAGGACGCGTGAGCAAGGGGGGCGATCGTGTCGTGGCGGCCCAACGGAAATTGGGGGGTGTGCAAGGCGAGACGAGGAGCGAGACTTACAGACCGTGGACCTCGTAACCCTTCTCGAGGAGGAGCTCAGTGAGGTAGGAGCCATCTGGAGTCGAGGAATAGTGCGAGTGGAAGGGTCAGCTACGGGTGCTGCAACGCAGGGGGGTGGGACCACGACGTGTCGGGCGCGGAGGTCCTTCGATCGCGCGCGAGATGGGACGCTCGCCCAAGCGTGGAAAAGAGGAATGCAAGCTCACCCTGTCCAGTAATCTGTGTAGATATAGCAGAAAGAGGGGTCAGCGACCTGCGAATCGAGCGGATGGAAGGACGGGAGGAGGGGGGAGCTTCGATCGCGCGAGATGGCGCTCTCGCGCTCGCTCGAGCAGATGGAGCCAGACTTACACCAGTGATGAGGGCGACCTTGCGAGCACGGTACTGCTCGGGGGTCATGGTTGTGCCGAGGGTAGGGATGGCGGCGGCGCCCATGAGGGTCGAGAGGCTGGCAGAGTGCGACGAGGTGCGCTTGGGCTCGCCGCGGGGGGTAAGGCCAGTCTGGAGATCAGCGGACCTGTGAGGAGGGGCGGTCAGCGAAATAATCGTGCGAGTTGTGGAGCAGTCGTAGGCGTACATGGTAGAGAGAAAGGTAGTGCAAAGTGTGGGTGGGAGGGGAGGGGAACGGAGGCGAGTGGTGGTAGAAGGAAGAGAGAGACGCGACAGCGTGAGCGCGCTCAAACTTCTGGGCCAGGCAAGTCTTCGATGGCCCGCAGCCCGCGCGCGCGTATCTCCCGCCAACGGGAGCGCCAGCTCGCTGTCTCAGACACGTCAACCCCCCTGCCTGCCGGCTCTTTCTCGCACTAGATTCCTCCCCTGAATCTGCACCACTGCAACCACGTGGCGCTCCCTCCCTCTACAGCAGAACACGTAGCCTGTTGAGCTGTGGAACACACCGCACAGACGACGCGTCGCGACCCCTTCGGCCCAGACGAAGCTTCCCGCCTTCGTGCACGACCTTCCATCGAGCATGCCGGGCACGGTACAAAGCAGAAGAAAAAAAAAAAGAGAGAGAGCCACGACCGCACGACGCGTGGACGCGTAATCCCGTGTCGCCCAACTGCTCTTCCATTCCGGACTTGCGCCGCTGCCCTGTCCCGAACGACAAAGCCCAGGCTCCCAACAAAACGGCCGTCCCTTGACACGTACGCCATTGCTGATGGCCGTGGGTGGAAGCTGCAAAAAAGTAATTCGGTTGATTCGACAGAGGCTCGAACTCCAGACCTTTTGCGTACCACTTGGAAGTGTTAGGCAAACGTGATAACCAACTACACCATCGAACCGATTGAGTATGCTCCTGAACACCGTTATGGCATATAGGTCAAGCCACGTGGTTTTTGTAAAAATTTAATCCTTGTTTTCTCGCCCCTTCAAGCGCAGTGAGTCATAGAAAATGTCCAAGGTAGACTATCACTGACTCTTGCGCGGACTGAGGCGCATCAACGTTCTTCCCGTGCGCCTCGCAGACCACGTTGCGCACTCGCTTCACCGCCCCGTCCCCCTTACAGTCTCAGAGAAAAACAAAGTGTACCTAAACCTTACAATCTTTCAACTCACACAACATCACCTTCTAACTATAAAACAACAACCTCCCTGCTCACCCTAACGCTCCCCCCTCTCCCCCAACTCCTGGACCCACGCTTTCTCCTCGTCCTCCGCCTTCGCCGTACTCCTCCTCCCTCCAGGAGCCAGCCCACTCCCACTCCCCAACCCACTCCCACCAAATCCTCCCGACTGACTCCCCAAAGACACTGGAATAGTCGGCAGGCTAAACGCGAGTCCGTTCGACGGGTCGTTGTCCCTGATTTCGCGGACCCGTCGACGACCGTTGAGGGACGTGAGAAGCGCAATCATGTAGAGCGGCGCGAGGGGTTGGGAGAAGATGTTGTAGTAGTATGTCCAGGTTTGGGCGTATACCAAGATGGCTGGAAAAGTAGCACCGTAAGAAATAGTTGCCTTGCTGGACGCAATTTGGACTCACCAGCGACCAACGCCGACGCCGCCGTGAACGCTCCAGACTGCAAGCTCACCACCGCGAGGGTTCGTAGGATCGTGTCGCTCTGTCGGTTGAACGACCTGACTTCCCTCAGTAGGAGAATTGCTAAAGTCACTGAAATGACAATGTCGACAGCGGCGCTTGCGACGAAGGTGAGTCCGCCGCCGCCGTTGACCTCTTCTTCGGTGTCGGGGAGAGGTTCTCCGAGATAGTTTCGGGTGATGGTGATTGCTGGAGAAGAGAAGGGGAGGGACGGAAGTCAGAGGCAGAGTTTGGTTAGTGAAAAAGAGAGAGAGCGACCCACTGTACAAAAGATTTCCGGCGAGGGCTAGCGCAATGCCCAAACCGACGATCGTGCCAAAAGCGACACGTGCGATCCTCGCTTTGATGAGCTGGGAATTCCTCACTTTCGGGTCAGTCTCAACCCCCATGCCGCCGTGGCTCCAAACCAACTCTTACCTGACAAGCCCTCCAAAGCAAGAAGCTTTGGACCAAGACGGCGACGAATCCGAGACCTAGGAGAGAAAGGCCGTCCCAGATCGAGTTGACGCTTGTCCAAGATGGCACGTCAGCTCGTATTTCGGTGACTGGGGGAGAAAAGTCCCTTACTCGATACCTTCAACAGACCTTTGCTGCATAGTCGACCAGTAGTACAAGTCGCCGAACTCGACGCTGCGGCCCTCTTCTCATCAGCGGAGCTGCCCCGTTCGAACTCGCAAAGGACGCTTACACCGCCTGAAACGTCAAAAAGAAGAAACACGCCCCAACAAGCGCCTTGATCCTCCGACCATCAGCTGCAAACAACGGCGACATGGCGTAGTTAAACGTCATGTTCGCCGCGACCCCGTACAGCATCAGCATGAATGCCCATCCTGAGTGGGTGGCGGGGGCGGTCAGCTCGAGTGGTGAGGACGGAAGGGGGGGAAGAGCAACGCACCAATGATGAAAGGCCCAACACTTTCGTATATATACTCCTGACTTGCAAAAGGACCTTGGACCGTGTCGAGGGGATCGTAGTCGGCAGGGTTGTAGGTAACATTGGCTGACATCGTGCGCGCGGCGTGCCTGTCCGTCCGGGGCGTGCGGAGGGTGAAGTACGATGGAGGGGAGATGATGAGGGAGGAATAGAGAGAGCTGTCGGGCAGGACAGAAGCAAAGGAAGCAGCTCCCGTTCAGATGGGTGTTGGCTCCCGCCTGCCCTTCTTCCGATTCGAGCACGAGATCTGCGTCAAACAAAAAGAAAACGATCGGGGGGGCGAGAACCCCGGTGCCTATCTCAATCTGCCGTTTTTAGCAACCCATCCTTCCAATCGTGCGGACACACAATAGAGGTTGATATGTGCTCTATTTGAACAAAGGGAGGTTACGCAGCTCCTTCGGGTGGTACCGAGCTTCCGTGTGTATGGGCGGACAGACGCCACGTCAGTTTTTGGCGACTTGGCCAAGGCCAATGGGCAGCCAGCCCTCGCCGTCGCACTGAGATACTATTGATGATAACGGCACATTGTACAAAAGCAGTGCACACGGCTTCCTATCTATATTGAGGCGTTTTCGTCTCCCCTCTTCTGAGTCTCGCCTCCTCCATGAACCACCACCCAAAGAGAAGGAGCCAGGCTCCTTTTCTACAAAGTCAAGATATGATCCAAAAGAGAAGTTGAGCAAATGTGACCTCGCTTATGGCTTTGGTCAAGACCCCTATCAAAAAAAAAAACCGAGCGACGTGGCTGGTATCCACAAGTCCGCGGCTTTGTCGAGTTGATCTCTGGCGAGCGCGAAGTCGCGAAGTCAAGCCTCGACGCGCCTTGTTCACCCCACCCACCCTCGCCCTCCCCGTTCGCGCTCACCCAAACTCACACGATTCTTCAGTCTCGTCGCAAAAGTCACACGACCTCGTACGCGCCCGTCCTCCGCCTCTCCTGAGCAACGACGCGCCCGGAACGCTGACTCCTGGCCCCGCTGCTTTCTCGCGTGCAGCTCCAGTTCCACCCACGAATCTAACAAGCAAAGAGGATGGATCGCCCTACGCCCCGAGTCAACTACTCTCAGCTCTCTGACTTTGGTGCGTGACCTCCATCTTCCTTTCCACCTCGCGACCGAGAGCCAACGCGTCAAAGGCGCGTTCTCGTGCAGCTGGCAGGACCGTCCGAATCGTCGGCAAAGTGCTCAACGTTCGTCCCTTACCCTTTATTTCTCTCTATATCACATACTCATCCTTGAACACGACGGACAGGCCGACGCCGAGACGGCGACGATCGAGACGTCCGACAAAGGTCACGCCACGATCAAGCTCAGCAGGGTCTGTCCTCCCTTCCTCCTCTTTCTGATCACTCGAAGGGAAAACTGATAGAAGAGAGGGGCATGAACAGAACACTGACTTTTCAGGCGAGTACGTCGAGATCCTCGGCAAGGTCAACGCGTCGGACAACAGCATCCAGGAATACTCGACGTGCGCTCCCTTCCTTTCTGCCCTAGACGCGTCGGAGCAAAAGCTTACATATGTGGACAAGAGCAGAGTCGACCTTGGCTCCAACATCGGTGCGTTTGTCGTTCTTCTCCCAAGCGGGGGAGGGTCTCGCGCGCAGGGCAGCTGATGAGCGTTTTGTGTGTATGTGCGTACGCGAGGACAGATATGGACGTCGTCGAGCAATTCACGCTCCTCTCGCATCAGTACTCGGACCTCTTCCCTGGAGACAACGAGTAGATTGGGGGTACGTGTTGGAGCTTAGGGGGCAAGCAGGAGGAAGTGGTTCGAATGGGGGGAGTCGTAAACGTGTACTTGTAAAACAAACCTTGTGGTTCTTTCCTCCCTTCCTCACACCCGAAATCGAAAACAAAAGAACAGACGAGCTTCAAATACAAGACCTCCTACGACTTTCTCCTCTCCATAATCTCCCTCACGACCCTAACCTCCTCCATCCCCTCCTCCGCCTCTCCCTTCCCTTCCACAAACTTCTCCACGGCCTTACTAATGACCCCCCTCCTCTCCTCCTCCCCATGCTCATTCAACCACCTCACATACTCCGCCTCCGTCCACCCATTGTTCTGATGCGGGAGAGGGATCTCGGATCGAGAGAGAATGTAGTGCAAGAGGATGAGGGTCGGCACGTCAGACGTTTGGGACGCGACGGAGAGTTGAGTCGTGTCGAGGAAAAGGAGAGGTCGGAAGGCTAGTTTTTCCAGCCCAAGTCAGTAACAGATAACGAGAAAAGGAAGGGCAGGGAAAGCGGGGGAAAAACGCACCTCTCAAAGCCTTGAACTGATCGCCCATCCCACTCAACGCGAGCGAGTGCGACGAAAGGTATTGCGAGACGGCAAACTCGAGCGCCGTCGTGTCGGCAGTGAGCTTGAGCTTCCCAGCCTCCGAGGTACACCTCACGATCGAAGCGTGGAGAAGGAACGTCTGCACCGTGAACCTCGCGAGGTCCAGTGCCCTGCATCCCATCATACCACGTCAGCCTCCTGCTCTGCCCTCTCTTCCTCCACGGTCCCACACAAAGAAAGAGCGATTTCAAACTCACCACTCCTTGCCCAGATCCCCAACCCTAAAGTTCCCCAACAACTCCTCCCTCACAAAGCTCAGCTTATCCGTCAAATCCGCCATGTACGAACTCGCCGAACTCGACATCGACACTGGCGCGTCCTTCTTCGTGTAATCCGTTCTGTGCATCCTCGTCATGATGGCTGAGAACTCGCGTCGGATGGCCATGATGAGTGGGTTCGAGATGGAGAGGTAAGTCGTTCGGATGCTCTGTGGTGTGTGGGCGTTTTGGTCAGTGGAGCACGGGAGGAGGGTGAGGGAAGGGGGGACGAACCTCGACGGCAGGTCTTAGGATCTCTCGAACGGGCTCGGTATGCTCAGTCAGGGCCCTGTGAAGAGGCGCCCAGAGGTGGTACAACGAGCTCGCGAGGTCCGCGTTCGAGTGCTGCGACGGAGTCGCGAGAGGGCCGAGCAATGTCGTTGCTGAGTGGTCGTGGATGACCTAACAAGACGTTATCCGGGTCAACAAAAACCGAGCCAGCAAGAATTTGACAATAAACGAGATGGCTCACCAGTCCATTCGACTTCGACACATACATATCCACCGCCTTCGCCGCCCCCTTCGCCACAGCTTTCACTAGCAACGGGTCAAACCTCGCCGCATCAAGCTCGTTGACGACCGCCCTTGCTGCCGAGAGACCCTCGTTCGCAGTCGGTACTGAAGGTGGTCGAGATGTGAAGGAAGAGGACAGGGACGAAGAGATGGAGAAGGAGGAAGAAACGGATTCGTTGAGTCGGTTGGTTGAGCG